TAATAATATATTTCAATTTTTGGTAAGAAATATCTGTAAAAAAAAGCTTCATATATTAGTATTTCTCTTACATATAAATACATATAAACATTCAGAAGATAATAAATAATTATAATAAATGTACTAAATTCAATATTCATAGAATATATTTACTTAATAATATATTTCAATTTTTGGTAAGAAATATCTGTAAAAAAAAGCTTCATATATTAGTATTTCTCTTACATATAAATACATATAAACATTCAGAAGTAAATATGTGACAATGAGTCAGAAATCAGGACGCTTTGGCTACGGCGACGGCGCCTTGTTGAACGGTTCTTTTGACGCCGTCTGCGTCAGTCTGCAGAATGCTTTGCGCAGTGGTCCCAAGTGCGCACTGGCCGAGGCATATAAAAGGATAAACGCGTACACGGCTGGCATTTAGTTCGCAAGGAATCATGCCGCAGGACACATTAGTCCCTTGTGCGCCGACTAAATGATATGTCCCTTCGCTACCAATCGCAATCGCAGTCTAGGCAAACGAGTCTCACTAAACTTTCTGTTGAGCACCTAAAGTTTCAAAATATCGCGGTTCCAAGATGGTGTACGGCAAATAGTACAGTGAAGCATCGAATCGAATGAACGCATTAATTCACATGTTTACAAACTAATCAAATATTTAAAATTCGAAAATTCAAAAGTGTGTTTGGTTAATTTGGTAAGTGAGACTAAGGGCGATGAAACACATATCAGAGTCTAATGAAAGTGCAAACTCATAAATAAATAAATAAAAATATACTCAAATTCCTMATTTACTAGTGTCTATTCCTAACTATAATAATTCTATGATTTTTGTATATCTAAAATATACATATAAATGAACTTTTATATATCACAGTCTTGATAATCTGAGTGATATTACATTCTGTAGAACTTGTTACACTGATTACTGTGAAGCACAAAAGTTAATTATCTGTACATATTTTTTAGATATGCTTACAAGTAATTATTAAGTTTATAGAATATACCTCTTCTATAGGTCATTACATTTCTAAACAATATATTATTCTAATTTACTCGTCCTTAACAGGAGTGCCTTATTAACAGTTCGTGAATCTTATGGAGGAATCTACATTTTTTTTTTTTTTTTTTTTTTTTTTTTCTTTGTAAAACTTTGTTGTGAGAAATGCTTATATTACTGACTGATATATCTCAACACTTTATTAGATAAACATGTACAAATATAAATTAGCTTTCTTCCTTCTATGTATGTCTGGTTTTATCTATCCTACGTATTGATGGCCTTTCCACTCGTGGGATATTTTTAAGATCTTTAAGATCTCATTGAATACTTACGGGTCGGATCGATCGACTGATGAAGAAGGCCACTCTGTGTTGATTCATTTTGTGTTCGGCACTTTGCTCATTCGTCTTTATCTCCAAGGTACACGAGTAGAACGTATCCACAATTATGATATCCGAGACGAAGTAGCAGTGTACCCTGTGCAGGAATATGCTAACGATGATAAATATGAATATGATGATAATGACGCTGTGCCAGCTAAAACAGGTTTGTACCTCTTACTCTGACGTGAAATTCTGACTTTGACCGCAATGGATACGGCGACTGTGAATGCAACTGCGAGTGCTTCCCTCCTCCTCTCCTGTCTCTTCTGTGTTGCTCGCCTCTTCTCTTTAATGGGTTTTTAACAAGTTTGCTTTGACTGTAGTGCGCTGATGATATCTTATTAGCTTTAGCCTCCTAATTGCGCTCATCTCAAGGAAGATGCCCAATTGTGCATCATGTGGTTTCGACCACCCATGGAAGTACAAATCGTGTGTGGATATGGAATGCTCCATGTCTACCAAAAGATATATAGGTTATATATAGTTGATCTGCAGAAGATTATGTCCTTTGTTATACACATTCATGATCTTTAAAAATGTCTTTAGTTTCAATATCCAATGGGCAGTCTACCTTTTCACTTCATATCGAAAGAGAAGGAGATGAAATCTCAAATATACTTTTCAGATATATTGATTTGGAATATGTCGGAATAAGTTCCATCGTTTCTAAGTGAACTGTCTATGGATATAATAGTTATAACGACTCTCAAGGGCCCGTCGTTATAACCGGAAAGCGCTAAAACCGTTTAAGTTTCCTTGTAAAAGTTTGTCCGGTGACCAGAATTTTCGTCGCTATAACACAGACGCTATAAGCGGAGTCATTATAGCCGGATTCTTCTGTATTCGTTATGTGACATATTTTTTATCATACAACCCGCAAAGCTGCGATATAATGGATTTTTAAGCGGCTTTGATTGATGTATCCTCTAAATATTTTTATTCTTAATTTTTCAAGTGGATTCTATTTTCAAAATTTCAATTCTCCATAATATATAGTATAAATTGTAATTATGTTTACATATTATTTATATATTGTATATTTAAAAAAAAATCCTACTAAATAAGGTAAGTATAGAAATAGTTACTTATACAAAATGTGTACGTTGTCAATACTCTAATTCATCACCCTAAACAACTTCTTGAAACTCTTAGGTATTATATTCTGTCGTCAGGTGAGTCAGTCTTCGTCTTCCGCTGCCATCCCACAGTCATCGAGACCCTGCGGTTCCGACCTGTTATTATCGTAATGACAGCAGCCTATTTGCTTTTATGTTTTCAAGTCGTCCAAGCCCTAAACAATTATCCCTGCTGGAACTGGCCAGCACGCTCTTCAATACTTTTTGATCTCACTTGAAACTCAACTTTCTCTCTCTCTCTCTCTCTCTCTCTCTCTCTCTCTCTCTCTCTCTCTCTGTTTCTTGCTCTCTGTCTCTATTTATGCTTGTGTATGTCTATCTGTGTATAGAGGTGCACTGATCAACGGAAAGACTTAAGCGATACACATTCGTGATCGGATCTATAATTCACATCATGCTGAATATTTTTGCATGGTTCTATATATGTTCACAACGATTGAAAATTACTAATTTTTTCTTTACAGGTATATGTGGTTTATTAATTTTGATTATAGCGATTAAATTAAAAAATAATTATCATTCCTTAAATTATTAAGTTAAATACAAATATGCAATATG